GGACTGTAGGTGTAGGCGCTCTGGCCAAAGCCGTACACCACCGCCGCCATGTTACAGTGCCCACCTTCCGTCTCCAGGGCAATCGGTCGGGCGGTGTGATCGTCCACTGGGCTGGCCAACTGGAGAATGGCAATGTCGGCTGGGCTGACGCCTCCTCGGTACTGCGGGTGCACTATCACCCGACTGACGTTCGCCTTCTTGAACTGGTACGATCGGCGAGAGGGTGGTGATCTACCACCAGAAGAGGAGGAGGCCACCTGGTCGTCATCGTAGGTGGTGTACTTGCGAGCCGTCCCGTAGACGATGAAGTCAACGCCCTCGAGGACGCAGTGACCGGCAGTGAGCACCTTGTCGTAGTCGATCAGCGATCCAGTGCAGAATGACTGGCCCTTGAGGACGAGCTGGACGGCAAAGGGCGCAGATTCGATGGCCGCCGACTGGCCGCCCACCAGACGTTTCATTCGGTGGTGATGCTGCTGCTGAAGGTGGTGATGATGGGGATGGTGAAGTTGTTGGTGGTGATTTGTGGGAAGTGGTGTCAGCGGCTGAATTCCACTTGTGAAGAGAAGTGCCCCCAAACAGACGGTGGTCGTGGTGGTCAGCAGTGATGGAAACATTCTGTTGTTGCGGTTGGATGGCATCACCAAACACTGTCCGATCATTCACTTCTTTTATGTACCCTTATCACAACAACAAGAATGACAAGACCGAAACTAGACAAATGAGTCAAGTTCATCTTTAATCTTTGAACTGATCAGTTGCGCTCATGTGCTGATTTATTTGCTCAAAATATCACAAGGAGTAAAAACTACTAAAAGCAAAAAAATGAATCTCCGCTTCTTTTCACAGGTTTTTAAGCAATTTTTTGTACTTTTTGCTCTTTGACCTAGAGTTTGGCATCTCTTTACGTATGAAATCTAAAATTGAAAATGTAAAGTCAGATAGTATTTTTTTAGCTCACAAAAACTCTAGTACCAAGATGGCTGGCCACGCTGACAAAGAGATCTCTCTTGCCTCGAACACAGGAGCTTCTCGCCGTCACGCCGATGAGTCGGTAGTCCGCAGAGACCAAACTTCCGCCTGAATCACCTGTAGAATAAATCGACTTTAATCTAAAAACCATCAAAATACCCAAACTCGCTCATACCCGCACAGACAGTTCGGTTCTCCCTCTGCGTGGCAATGAACTTGGCCCGTGAGTCAGTCCAACAGCTATCTTGAATGGCCGTCTCCATCACCTGCAAGCTCTTCTTCGCCTCCCTCTTCCGCCAGTCCTTGGCAGCCTCATGACGGTCGGCCACCTTGCCAAAACCGTAGACGGTCACCTTTGAGCCGCACTCTATTGTTTCAAAACGACTAGTGGGCAGGGCAATCGCCTGGGCCACCCTGTCCGGCAGAATGGGCCTCCTCAGGCGGAGAATGGCAATGTCGTTGCTCCACTTGCTCGAGTCCACCCGTTGGTACTGCGGATGGGCGATGATCTTCCGAATCTTCATCACCTTGAAGGTGTTTGTTTTTGCAGCTGCTGCACGTGCCGAGTAGAGCCGCGTCGTACCGTAGGCGATAAAGTCGACGCTCTTCAGTGTACAGTGCGCACAGGTGAGCACCAGGTCGGGGGCTATGATCGACCCACTGCAGATGGTCTTGTTGTTTCGCACTAGCTGCACCACAAAGGGCGCATCCTCTATTGTCAGCACCTGTTCACCGCCCACCAGTCGTTTGACGAGGTGATGCGGAGGAGGGTGGTGCTGCAAACTATCACAGTCGACAGTCGAAGAGCTGAAGAGGACAAGGAGAAAGAGGGGAAACAGTGAAACCAAAATGGAAACTGTTTCCTGTGGCAGTGGTAGAGGATTCATTGAGAGGTAGCTGCGACGGAATTAACACAAAAACACAATCAAACTCACTCAAACTGACTCAAGCTCTTTGCGGAACTGACGAACAGAACATGTCAAATTGTGTGAGGAAAAGTGTGTGTTTTGCATTTCTGTTCATTAGCACCCAACACCACAGCATGTCGTCAGTAGTCTGTCGTGAATGAGCATTGCCGGCAATCGCGATTGCATAGACAACAGCTGTAGACACCAGTACGTTTGAACATTGACATTGACGTCTGATCGACTTTTTAGTTAACACAGCAGTGGGGCTAGTAATTGGTTGCTTCCTTTTACAAGCTCCGTCTGCAAGGCCAAACTGCAGCAGCAGCAGCAGCTTGCCTTCAATTCTTCAACTACCCGTTACAACTGGTTGCAGTATTCTGTGCACTGTACAGCAGTTTTATGACTTATAATTAGCATTTGTGGTTGGATTAGCAGTCGGTGTGTGCACTACTGTGTTGTAGTGGAAGTTATGTACAGGTGTTGCCTGGCAGAGGGAGAAAGAGAGAGAGAGAAAGAGAGGAAGAAAGAGAAAAAGCAGTAGAGGTCACTTTTTGCCGCCTAAACATAGTGTCTCGTACTGCTGAAGCACTCGGCGGCTAAAGGGACTGCGGAAGGAGCGAAATCGATTGAGCAGTCGCTCCATTGTTGGGCAGTCCAGGTCGCCGTAGTCCACCGAGGATGACCAGTTGGGCTGTTGTTCCCCCGGTGATGATGGTGGCTGCTGAGGATGATGATTATGGCGATGAGCTGGGTCATGTTGATGCTGGTCATGGTTGCGATGTTGGTCCGCCGAATTGTCAGTGTTCGGCTTGTACGTTTCCTGCTGGTCGCGAAGGAGCTTATCGTAAAAGTACTTTTCAATAAACTCAACGTGATTCGATATTTTGACAAATAGATTCAGATCGCCAGCCGAACAGCCGGACAGACTGGTGCCCGAGAGGATGCCAATGATTCGTCGCTGATTGCCAATCAGCGGACCACCGCTGTCGCCCTGTGGGAGATGATGGGATAAAGAGAATTTAGCGTTTCACGGCAAAAAATAGAATACCACCAACCACTCACATGACAAACTGTTTTTCCGTGAATCTGCGTGACAATAAAGTCCCGATGCTTTTCACTCTGGTAGCATCCATTCTCCACTCTGGTCAGCATCGTCTGCAGTCGCTGGTTGTGCGCCTCGAACCAGCTGTGCGTGTCCCCGAAACCGTACACTCTCACCCAGTCTCCACAGCTGCCCTCGTCCGGTTCCATGTTGATGGCCTGTGTGGTCATGGCGGTGCTGTAGTCAATGGGAATGGGCTCCTCCAGCTCGAGCAGGGCAATGTCATTGCGGTCGACGCCGCTCTGATAGGACGGATGCACGTGCTCCTGGCGAACTTTGGCCATTCGGAAGTAGTTCTGGTTCTGATTGAAGATGCTCCTGCTGCTGCTACGCTGGCTGAACTTGCGACACGTTCCGTAGACCACCGAGTCAATGCCTCCCTTGGCGCAGTGGGCCGCCGTGATGATGGTGTCATCGGCGATGATGGAGCCGGTGCACTTCACCGAGCCGCCGCGAATCAGCTGCACGACAAAGGGGGCGTCGGTGATGTACGCCGTCTCCCCGTTCACTATTCGTCTCTTTCGAACTGCAGGAGAGAAAGAAGATGATGAGTTTTTCTGGGCTAAAATCTCGCTGTTGTTTAAAATGATGACACTTGTTAGCAAAAGAAGGAATAGCCAAAAACGGAAATGCGTGATCATGATGAAGTGAAACAATATTTCTAAAAACTGAGCTAAAAACTGAACAAGCAGTGCGAGCGTTTGTAATGTTTACCCTTTTATTTTTATTTGTCCTTTTCCTTATCACCTACTAGGGACAAACAGAAGATGAAAATCCCATGTGGCAGAGAGTGCAACACGACTATCATCACTGAGCACACTCAATGTCATCGAGCAAACACTGGAGACAGCAGACTAAAGCAATAACACTTTTTATCATTTTTTTCTAGCACAAAAGTCGTCTAGTCAACTTTGTCTAGAAAGTGCCTCAAAAAACGTCCGTGATTTGCCACCTTCACAAAATAGTTGTCGTACTTGGCCAGCCGCCCATTGCTCCGCCGTTGAAGCACTCCCAATCCGGTGGCGATGCCAATCTGCCGACCACCAGGTCCAATGAGAGGGCCGCCACTGTCCGCAAAGAAAGCCGTTCGCCGTTGACCATCATTACCATCATCATCAGCAGCATTGGTAATGAGAAAATTGTCCACCCGCTGGTCACTGTAGCGGCTGCAGTTGTGCCAAACAGTACAGTTGCACCCGTTGACCAGTCGTGTGCTCATCACCTGCAGCCTCCTCTTCCAAAATTCAGTGTGCACCTGGTCACCTTCAAAGGTTTGCCCGTATCCGTAGAAGTGCACCGTCTGATTGCAGTTTTCCCCATCTTTGCTGCTGACGCCGTAGTCGTAATCCATCTCCAACTGGACAACTCGTTTAGGTGAAACGCTCGTTGACAACTGCAACAGAGCAATGTCATTTCGGTGCACCGAGTTGGCCTGGTAGTCTCCATAAACAAGGGCACCTACAATGGGCAGCCTTTTGTGCCGTTGCAGCTTCAGTCGGACACCGAAAGAGGTGCATCGGGTGATGCTTCGGGAGATTACCACAAAAGATGTGGAGTTTCTGAAATTGGAAAAAGACGATGTTGTACAAAAATCTAAATCAAGATGATAACTGCATTAAACTTACACGCAATGTCTGGCAGTTAGGACATATCTGGGTGAAACAATAGAACCACTGCAGATGGTTTGGTTGTGCGAGTCAATCAACTGTACTACAAATTGACCGGCGCCTTCAGGAACGTCATCACCACCGATGACTCGTTTTCCCAATCGTCGACAGTTGTACGGTTTGAGAAGTAGTAAAAGGGAGAAAGCGAAAAGCCACAAAAACGTAAACAACGACATTGTCAAGTGAAAAGTGAAAACTCAATGAATTTTCTTGCCGCTGCAAGCATGTTTTTTAGCATTTGACAACAATTCAGTTGTTACAACTGTTATGGTGGCAATCATATTTACTTTTGATAAAAAAAATGTGGAAAAAAAGATAAAAAACTGCAACAAAAATTATATCATGTTAAAAAATGGGAAATAACTGTAATTAAAACTTACTGTGTAACTAAGATTTTAGGAAAAAGTTTGTTTATTCAGAAATCGAACATTAGATAACTTAGAAACAAGTTTGACAATGAATGTGTGAGTGGTTATAACAAAATGTGTAGTTTTCTCAGAAATCATTTCTATTGGTTTTATTTTCCAAATGATAACTAAAAGCATGTTTATTACTTTCTTCTTGCTGCAGTCGCTGCAATCTGCCATTGTTTCAAAACCTATTTCACCAGGGGCAGGCAAAACTTTGCCCCTAAAAGCAACTCCTCCCACTGCTCAGCTGGCGCCAGTCGCTGATCGAAACTTTGGCGCTCTGCCACCGATGACTGCTGACAACGACGCAAACGGAGCCCGTTTTCTAAATGAGCTCACCAACAGTGGAGGAGTTCACCACGGGGAAATCGATCCAGTGGAGTACGACCTGAAGATCGCCAAGGAGTTGGCCATGGAGAATCGTCAGCAGCTGATGCCAGCAGCAGGTGGACGGCATTTCAGCTTCAAACCAAATGATGGTAGTGCTCCTGGACTGAACTCGGAGGACGACAATTCGGAGGTACACGAACGGAAGCTCTACGCAGCGGAGGATGATCGACGCCCTGCAGCGGCAGAACTGGCCGGCGCTGAAGGTGGCATTTTTCACGGTGTGCTCGTCTTTCTCGGCTACTGCCTTCTCTTTCTCATCTTTGTCGCCTTCCTCATCGGCCTGACGGCCTTCTTCAAGCACGAAACGAAGCCGAAGAAGAAGAAAAAGGGCAAATCAAAGAAGAAGCGAGGCAGCAGTAGTGGTGGTGGCCTGGATGATGGAGACTCTCTGAGCACCAAGGAGGATAGCATCTCGGAGAAGGATGAGGTGTCTCACAAGCATAAAAACACACACAATCACTCGAGCATCAACGGTGCTGGCAATGAGGGTGAGGGTGAAGGTGGCAGCAGTAAACAGCACTCGCCAAACAGCTTCTTTGTCCCACTGCCTGACGATGACGAGCAGCGAGGAGAAAGGTACCGTCAACGACGCAAAATTCGTCGGGCCCAGCGACGACGACGACGGGAGCTGAAGAAGAAGCAGAAGATGATGAAGGGGAGGCGGAGGAAACACAAGGCGAGGAAGGCAAAGAAGAGTCGCTACCGAAATAGCCCACTGCCGCAGTTCATAAATCGATTTCTGGGTTCAGAGGAGGAGGAGGAGGACAAGGATGAGGAAGCCAGTGAGTGCGTCCAGTGCGGCGACGACAACAGTGATGAAGGTGAAAATGAAAGCCAGCAGGCTTCTCAGGCAAAAAGCCGCCATCTTTC